AAGGACCACGAATCATGGCATAATAAGAAAGCCTAGCTGATGGAACATTCAACTTCATGCAATTTTTCTTATGTTTTTGGCAAACTACTATCATTTAAGATATGCCATTTTTCAGGAAACAATAATTAATAATAATATCAGTCACTATTCCAGGATTTGGCCATTTTTTGCATAATTGAAGTGACATTTTTTCATGTATTAAAATGTTGGTATCTGTCCTATTATTATCCTCCCATTCCTGCAATGGAAAACCTGGATGATGATGCAATATAGAAACTGGACCAAGGAGAGGTCCTATGGAGTCTCTTCTCTTATTATTTAGGAAAACAGAATTTTAAGACTTTCTTAAACTCCAAGAAGAATTGAGTCATAGAGCAACTTGACTAAATGCTGTTTTCAGTATCCATCTATTTATGATGGTTATATAGTTCCAGAGGAGGAATATATTAGTGTGATTTAATGAATAGTAGAAGTGATTAATGAGAAACAATTAACATGTTCCAAATATGTAAATCTGGCTAGAAAGATGATAACTTATCTACAGGAATATGAAATGTGTTCATATTAAAGAGGGAAAATTATGATTTTAAAAGTTAGAGAGAGCAATGATATGTGAAAGTAATTACTAGGAGTAATAGGATAAAATTAAGAAACTAAAACGTAAGATGAAAATTGGAGTCAATTCAGTGACAGTGAACTGCATTAGGACATTAACGTAACTAAAGAAAAGTAAGAGGAGCCCCACTGCCTGGGGAAGTTAAAATTACACCAGAATAAACACATTAAAAAAATTAAAATTGAAGTTAACTAGTTAATTTCTCATTTCAGATAAATGACAGTTTCCTAGTATAAGTATATCCTATGTGATAACTGACACATATGTTATTAAAAATAATTTTAATTTACTAAATTTGACAACAATAATCATAGCATTTGTTAACTATGAGCATCAATGAGTTGGTAGCTTTGTTTTCTGACTCTCAGAACTTGGACCACAGGTGAGGCTTGTCCAGGGAACTAAACCCAAAACAAATTCTATAAAAATGAATAAAGAATCTGATGGTGTTCCTCCAATATTTCTCTCTAAACATTAATATTATGTTAGTAAACTCCAGGAGAACACCTTTACCTTAGGCTCATCTACTTCTTGTCTTAAACACTGAACTCTTAATCCAAATTTGCAGTTTTCAAAAAAAAGAAAAGGAAACTTGGCATAGTTCTGAAATTTTGTTAAATGGGATAAACTATGTTCAAATTGTAAACACTCACCCCACCACACCAAATATCTTGGTGAGACCAGATTTATGGAGTAAATAATGGTGAACATTATCAAAGACTGGAGACTATTCTTTCCAAGAGTCTTCAAGTAGCTCAAAAGGGAATAACTCTTTCCACAGTTCTTTTTTTCAGCTTGATTGTTTTAATCATCTGTTCAATCCAAATGATTATTGTGAGAATCCAGCCCAAAAAACCTACAAGCATGGGCAGTTGAAATTTTAATATAGTATATCTGGAAAAAACTATTTATTATGCTCATAAACAATCTCTGGCTCTATAATCACCCTTATCAAGTTCCTACTGTGCCTCATGTTTATGGAGTTATTCTGTATCCATTTTTGTTTTGTTTTGTTTTAAGACAGGAGAAGGGTATGTTTTGTGTTATGTAAACTCACAGCCAGACATTTCATGTTTTTTGCCTTCTTGGTACTCTGATAACCTGAGTACATTTTCTTTTATTTTTTTTCCTCCACCTTTTCATCAAAACCAGGTTTTAGATGAATAGGTCTCACTGTTCTTGGTATACTGTTTTTGATAGACTATTTTAGGTAATAAAACAATCTGCTGGTAACTATGGAAGGTGAAAACCACAGACAGAGTTCTAACTAGTTTCCCAGGAGCAAAATATTACTATGAAATTACTGGAATATCTCTTTACAATGTATGAATGGTAAGTATTTGGAAAGCTTTACCAGGATTTATAGTAAGAGGAAAAATAACAATTATAATCCTAATCCAATCTCTATGTACTATTGTAGTTTTAATACAAAACAAAGAATTAACATACTTTATATTGTATACAAAATCCTGCAATCTCCAAGAATAAATAGTGTAATTTCTTCCCAGTTTTTCTATACTTGCAATTTAGCACTGCCATGTTTTCTTCATAAATGAGGTTGTTAAAAATATTTCCATCTACATTAATTCATCTGCTTCTAAATTCCTGTCCCAACCTGAAATAATACTTCTCTTTCCTTAGTGACTCGAAATGGGTCCTATCCATCCATCTGCCTGAAAAACAAGTCCTCCAAAATGATTATCCTTCTCTTGGGGTAGTTAAATATACATGAGATAATCATAAACATGAAACCATGAGTTCACATAAACAGCCTGTACCTTTGCAGTAGGTAGGTGAGTGTTAAGATAAATGACATCTAACTTGCCAGGGGACCTGCTAAAAATGGAAAAAGAGATGCCTGTCATATTGGATGCACAGCTTGATAATAATATCTGATGGGGTAGAGGTGGCCAAAAATATCCCCACAAATTTCATTGAGAGTCTTTCTGACTCTCAATGAACCTTAGTCATTATAGTCTACCAGATGCAGCAGATTGAGTCTAAAAAATTACACTGATGTTAAACAAGTAGTAAACCTGCCGAGGGTGTTGCTTTCCATGAGCAAAATGCCTGGATTCTGACAGTCCATGTTCCTCTGCACCAAGGGGACCACACCTGTGCACCTAATTCTTTTTTTTTTTTTAATTTATTTATTTTATTTTTTTTTTTGGCTGTGTTAGGTCTTTGTTGCTGCACACAGGCTTTCTCTAGTTGTGGCAAGAGGAGGCTACTCTTTGTTGCAGTGTGTGGGCTTCTCATTGCGGTGGCTTCTCTTGTTGCCGAGCACTGGCTCTAGGCGCGCGGGCTTCAGTAGTTGCAGCACATGGGCTCAGTTAGTTGTTGTGCACCTAATTCTTGATAGGCAGAAAGTGTGTACCATTTCTAGAACAGGTGATTTAAATTTGGATGAGACTTCTTGAATTAGCCCAAGACATTCTTATTTACTAATGTTAAGGAGAGAGGAGTCAAGGAAAGAAGTACAATAAATCTGTGGGTCCAACTGAAAGTAATACAATCTGCCAAACAAGATGGATGTTAGTTACTTTGGCAATTCATTTCTAGTTTTAATTCCCTGAGAAGGAAATGAATCTCACTTGGTGGATTATAAACTTCAGATCAATTATCCCTTCTTTAAAGTATATAAATCTAAAATACATAATATCTGCACCATATATAAATGTATATGTATCGTATATATGGTTCATATTTAAGAATTTTAGTTTTAACATTATTTAAAATTTTATTTTGTCTTATAAACACTTGTAAAATATTGTAATAACCCAGTCTCATCCATGGCCCTGAGAAGTATTCTAGGTTCTTAGTATCTGGTTTGGAAATTAAATGTTTGTTTTTCCTTCTATGCAATCTCCAGTCTTTGGAAAGGCCAATTTTCTAAGGCAATTCAGAAAAAATAAGGGAAATAATCATCAGTAGGACTGATCTTCTGTTTATAAGATCCCATTAAGGATACTCTACAAATTCTCCTTGGCTCTTAGGGTAAAGGAAAATATCTGAGTTCCTCCATAGGGAATGATCATACTTTGATCCTGCCAAGAAAGAAGGCTGCAAGATTGAAGCAGGCTACTGAAAAATCAGTGGCAGAAATAGGGATGAAAAAATATCTATTGTTTCTTTTCATAGGTGTTAATCTATAGGTAATTCACAATGCTCAAAATAAAGGCTGATATCTGTATCACCTGCACTAGCATCAACATGGAGACTTTTGATGTGGCTAATCCTAAATCTAAGCTCATTTTATGTCACAGAGCCTATGCGCGTCATGTTTAACACTTTCAAAACCTTCAGTTCTTACCTAAAAACGTACTTCCTCATGCAAATATTACCTATCTGCTCACACACTTCTCTATCTATGTTTGTATCCTTATTATTTTCATAATACCTACTATGTCTTATAACACTAAATGTCTTATAATACTAAATGTATAGTGGTATGAATGTCTATAAATCTTATAATAGACCATATATTCCCTGGGACAAAACACTAGACTGACCTTATTTTTATTCATTATTGTATGCTAAGCCAAATTCATGACTCCTGACATATATGATTAATAGAAAAAAAATTGGCTGGGTGATTTAAAAAATAAGAAAAAAATAAAAAATTATGACAAATTATTAATGTAAATTCAAAGCTAAAAAGTAAAACTAAAAATGAACAGAATACTGTAATAAAAAATAAAGTTGATCAAAACATAATAATAAAGGGAATAAAAAACAAAACTAATACATGAAATGGTATTAGCAGCAAAAAAGAAATTAAAAAAATAATACAATTAAAACAACAAAAATGAAATTCAAAAGTCTGTATAAAATCTTCTGCTAAAATTTCAAGAAAATATTGTTGCACTGAAAATGTAAACATTTATCCAATTTTAAAATAAGATACCAAGTTTAAAACCAGCAAGATGAAAATAAGATGATAATAGATAAAAATCAATGATATGAGATAAATTGTTTAAATGCAAAATAAAAAAAAATGTATTTTTTAAATTTCTCAAATTAGTAGCAAATATTTTAAACATTAATAATTTAAGCTGAAGAGGAGATAGAAAGAAGTTACCAGAAGAGACTAAGAATGAGTCTGCAAAAATCAATATTTGTTTGACTGTGGGAAATATCCTTTTGTTGCTAGTTATCATCATATTTATGGCTCTGAAAAATCACAATTGATTCAGACGAGTTTCCATGATTTCTGCTTTAGGTGTCACTGTTAAGATAAACTTCATAGTTTCTTTATAAATGCAAGTAGATTGACCTAAACCTATTCATGTTTGTTTGTTTGTTTCAAAGAAAGGAAAAGAAAATATTTGTTCAACAAGTGATGGTAGTCATAATATTGGAAATCTTATTTTTTTTCCCACAGCCACTGAACTATGAGAAAAAGAAGTCATACACCCTCAACATAGAAGGAGCCAATACACATCTTGATTTTCGCTTTTCTCACTTGGGTCCTTTTAAAGATGCTACCATGCTGAAGATCATTGTTGGGGATGTAGATGAACCACCACTATTTTCCATGCCTTCCTATGTCATGGAAGTCTATGAAAATGCCAAGATTGGGACTGTTGTTGGCACAGTTTTGGCACAAGATCCCGACAGTGCTAACAGCTTAGTAAGGTATGGTATACTTCCATCTTTTAGACATATACAGATTTTATTGACTCTCACAGTAATTTAAAATGAATTAAATAATATTTAAAATATTTATTTTCTATGTTATTTTCTTTTTTTTGCATATATACCATTGTATTCTTTTTTTTAACAACTTTATTGGAGTATGATTGCTTTACAATGGTGTGTTTGTTTCTGCTGTATAAAAAAGTGAATTGGCTATATGCATACGTATATCCCCATATCCCCTCCCTCTTGCATCTCCCTCCTACCCTCCTTATCCCACCCCTCTAGGTGGTTGCAAAGCACCCAGCTGATCTCCCTGTGCTATGCAGCTGCTTCCCACTAGCTATTTATTTTACATTTGGTAGTGTATATATGTCACTGCCACTCTCTCACTTCGTCTGAGCTTACCCTTCCCCCTCCTCATGTCATCAAGTCCATTCTCTACATCTGCGTCTTTATTCCTGTCCTGCCCCTAGGTTCATCAGAACCTTTTTTTTTTTTTCTTTTAGATTCCATATATATGTGTTACCATACAGTGATTGTTTTATTCTTTCTGACTTACTTCTCTCTGTATGACAGACTATATGTCCATCCACCTCACTACAAATAACTCAGTTTTGTTTATATTTATGGCTGAGTAATATTCCATTGTATATATGTGCCACATCTTCTTTATCCATTCATCTGTCGATGGACACTTAGGGTGCTTCCATGTCCTGGCTATTGTAAATAGATCTGCAATGAACATTGTGGTACATGACTCTTTTTGAATTATGGTTTTCTCAGGGTATATGCCCAGTAGTGGGATTGCGGGGTCATAAGGTAGTTCTATTTTTAGTTTTTTAAGGAACCTCCATACTGTTCTCCACAGTGGTTGTATCAATTTACATTCCCACCAACAGTGCAAGAGGGGTCCTTTTTTTCCACATCCTCTCCAGCATTTATTGTTTCTAGATATTTTGATGTTGGACATTCTGACTGGTGTGAGGTGATACCTCATTGTAGTTTTGATTTACATTTCTCTAATAATTAGTGGTGTTGGGCATCTTTCCATGTGTTTGTTGGCAATTTGTATATCTTCTTTGGAGAAATGTCTATTTAGGTCTTCTGCCCATTTTTGGATTGGGTTGTTTGTTGTTTTGATATTGAGCTGCATGGGCTGCTTGCATATTTTGAGATTAATCCTTTGTCACTTACTTCATTTGCAAATATTTTATCCCATTCTGAGGGTTGTCTTTTCATCTTGTTTATGGTTTCCTTTGCTGTACAAAAGCTTTTGTTTCATTAGGTCCCAATTGTATATTTTTGTTTTTATTACCATTTCTCTAGGAGATGGGTCAAAATGGATCTTGCTGTGATTTATAACATAGAGTATTCTGCCTATGTTTTCCTGTAAGTGCTTTTTATTGTCTGGCCTTACATTTAGGTCTTTAATCCATTTTGAGTTTATTTTTTTGTATGGTGTTATGGAGTGTTCTAATTTCTGTCTTTTACATGTAGCTGTCCAGTTCTCCCAGCACCACTTATTGAAGAGGCTGTCTTTTCTCCCTTGTATACTCTTGCCTCCTTTATCAAAGATAAGGTGACCATATGTGCTTGGGTTTATGTCTCGGCTTTCTATCCTGTTCCATTGATCTATATTTCTGTTTTTGTGCAAGTGCCATACTGTCTTGATTACTGTAGCTTTGTAGTATAGTCTGAAGACAGGGAGCCTGATTCCTCCAGCTCTGTTTTTCTTTCTCAAGATTGCTTTGGCTATTCGGGGTCTTTTGTGTTTCCATACAAACTATGAAATGTTTCGTTCTAGTTCTGTAAAAAATGCCATTGGTAGTTTGATAGGCATTGCATTGAATCTGTAGCTTGCTTTGGGTAGTATAGTCATTTTCAAAATGTTGATTCTTCCAATCCAAGAACATGGTATATCTCTCCATCTGTTTGTATCATCTTTAATTTCTTTCATAAGTATCTTATAGTTTTCTGCCTACAGGTTTTTGTCTCCCTAGGTAGGTTTATTCCTAGGTATTTTATTCTTTTTGTTGCAATGGTAAATGGGAGTGTTTCCTTAATTTCTCTTTCAGACTTTTCATCATTAGTGTATAGGAATGCCAGAGATTTCAATGCATTAATTTTGTATCCTGCTACTCTACCAAATTCATTGATTAGCTCTAGTAGTTTTCTGGTACCATCTTTAGAATTCTCTATGTATCATATCATGTCATTTTCAAACAGTGTCAGTTTTACTTCTTCTTTTACAATTTGGTTTCCTTTTATTTCTTTTTCTTCTCTGATTCCTGTCGCTACAACTTCCAAATCTATGTTGAATAATAGTGGTGAGAGTAGGCAACCTTGTCTTGTTCCTGGTCTTAGAGGAAACGGTTTCAGTTTTTCACCATGGAGAACAATGTTGGCTGTGGGTTTGTCATATATGGCCTTTATTATGTTGAGGTAGATTCCCTCTATGCCTACTTTCTGGAGTGTTTTAATCATAAATGGGTGTTGAATTTTGTCAAAAGTATTTTCTTCATCTATTGAGATTATCCTATGGTTTTAATCCTTCAATTTATTAATATAGTGTATCACATTAATTGACTTGCATATATTGGAGTATCCTTACATTCCTGGGGTAAACCCCACTTGATCATGGTGTATGATCCTTTAAATGTGCTGTTGGACTCTGTTTGCCAGTATTTTGTTGAGGATTTTTGCATCTATATTCATCAGAGAAACTGACCTGTAGTTTTCTTTTTTTGTAACATCTTTGTCTGGTTTTGGTGTCAGGGTGATGTTGCCTTGTAGAATGAGTTTGGGAGTGTTCCTCCCTCTGCTATATTTTGGAAGAGTTTGAGAGGGATAGGTGTTAGTTCTTCTCTAAATGTTTAATAAAATTCACCTGTGAAGTCAGCTGTTCCTGGGCTTTTGTTTGTTGGAAGGTTTTTAATCACAATTTCAATTTCAGTGCTTGTGGTCAGTCTGTTTATATTTTCTATTTCTTCCTAGTTCAGTCTCAGAAGGTTGTGTTTTTCTAAGGATTTGTCCATTTCTTTCAGGTTGTCCATTTTATTGGCATAGAGTTGCTTGTAGTAATCTCTCATGATCCTTTGTATTTCTGCAGTGTCAGTTGTTACCTCTCCTTTTTCATTTCTAATTCTGTTGATTTGAGTCTTCTCCCTTATTTTCTTGATGAGTCTGGCTAATGTTTTATCAATTTTGTTTTTCTTCTCAAATAACCATCTTTTATTTTATTGATCTTTGCTATTGTTTCCTTTATTTCATTTTCATTTATTTCTGATCCAATCTTTATGATTTCTTTCCTCTGCTAACTCTGGAGATTTTTTGTTCTTCTTTCTCTAAATGCTTTAGGTGTAAGTTTAGGTGGTTTGTGTGAGATTTTTCTTGTTTCTTGAGATAGGATTGTATTGCTATAAACTTCCCTCTTAGGACTGCTTTTGCTGCATTGCATAGGTTTTGGGTCATCGTGTTTTCATTGTCATTTGTTTCTAGGTATGTTTTTATTTTCTCTTTGATTTCTTCAGTGATCTCTTTGTTATTTAGTAATGTATTGTTTAGCCTCCATGTCTTTGTATTTTTTACAGTTTTTTTTTTCCTGTATCTGATATTTATTCTCATAGCGTTGTGGTCAGAAATGATACTTGATAAGATTTCAATTTTCTTAAATTTACCAAGGCTTGATTTGTGACCCAAGATATGATCTATCCTGGAGAATGTTCTATGAGCACTTGAGAAGAAAGTGTAGTCAGTTGTTTCTGGATGAAATGTCCTATAAATAGCAGTTAAGTCCATCTTTTTTAATGTATCATTTAAAGCTTGTGTTTCCTTATTTATTTTCATTTTGGCTGATATGTCCATTGGTTAAAGTGGGATGTTAAAGTCCCCTACTGTTATTGTGCTAATGTCAATTTTCCCTTTTATGGCTGTTAGCATTTGTCATATGTATTGAGGTGCTCCTATGTTTGGTGCATAAATATTTACAATTGTTATATCTTCTTCTTACATTGATCCCTTGATCATTATGTAGTGACATTCTTTGTCTCTTCTAATAGTCTTTATTTTAAAGTCTACTTTGTCTGATATGAGAATTGCTACTCCAGCTTTTTGTTGATTTCCATTTGCATGCAATGTCTTTTTTCATCCCCTCACTTTCAGTTTGTGTGGGTCTCTAGGTCTGAAGTGGGTCTGTTGTAGATAGCATATATTCAGGTCTTGTTTTTGTATCCATTCAGCCAGTCTATGTCTTTTGGTTGGAGCATTTAGTCCATTTATATTTAAAGTTATTATCAAGATATATGTTCCTATTACCATTTTCTTAATTGTTTTGGGTTTGTTATTGTAGTTCTTTTCCTGCTCTTGTGTTTCCTGCCTAGAGAAGTTCCTTTAGCATTTGTTGTGAAGCTCGTTTGGTGGTGCAGAATTCTCTTAACTTTTGTTTATCTAAAATTTTTAATTTCTCCATCAAATCTGAATGAGATCCTTGCTGGGTATATTAATCTTGGTTTAGGTTTTTCCCTTTCATCACTTTAAATATGTCCTGCCATTCCCTTCTGGCTTGCAGAATTACTGCTGAAAAATCAGCTATTAACCTTATGGGGATTCCCGTGTACGTTATTTTTTGCTTTTCCCATTGCTGCTTTTAATATTTTTTCTTTGTATTTACTTTTTGATTCTTTGATTAATGTGGGTCTCAGTGTGTTTCTCTTTGGGTTTATCCTGTATTGTACTCTCTATGTTTCTTGGACTTGATTGACCATTTATTTTCCCATTTTAGGAAAGTTTTCCACTATAATCTCTTCAAATATTTTCTCAAACTCTTTCTTTTTCTCTTCTTCTTGGACCCCTATAATTTGCATGTTGGTGCATTTAATGTTGTCCCGGAGGTCTCTGTGACTGTCCTCAATTCTTTTCATTCTTTTTTCTTTATTCTGCTCCCTGGCAGTTATTTCCACCATTTTATCTTCCAGTTCACTTATCTGTTCTTCTACCTC